TAGCATTTAAGGGAACAATAGGTCAAATGCAATCATCTGCTTTCCAGATGATAGTTTCCATTTTACCAAATAAGTCTCTATCAAGGCTGGCAAAAGCTTCTGTATTAGGGGGTGAGGGAATGAAGAGAGAAAAGCAAGGAAGGTATATGACCTTATTTTACCTTTTTTGACAAAAGCAGATAACACTGCTAATTTAGGGAGAGGATCCCACAGGCCACCAAATGTTCTTTCCTGAGATGAGCTGCAGCTTTTCTCTTTCAGAATGTCTCTTACTGCTAATTTTATTATTTTGACAAAGCCCTGAGTGCTCATCATTGCTTCAGAGATGGAAGAGCTTCACGTTCACTACAGTACAAAGAGTTATCACAAAGTTACTTCTTCTAAATAAGGAGATATGCTGAAGAGCAGCTGTGAAGACATGCTCCATATTGCTGGTGCTACAACTGTATGTAAGGCAGGGAGGAAATCAGAGTAGCACAACACAGCCTAGTGAAGTCACATTTTGCCTGCACAAAATGATAGACAACACTAAAATCATGTAGGATTAAGCTGAATTCTTGGTCATAGCTTAGCTATTTGCTAATTAGCTAATTGCTGTCCCTCCCATCTGTGTGCTTAACTAGCAGATCACCAGTTATGAATTGCTCACAAAATAAAATATAAAATAAGCATTACAGGTTTCAAGTAATCAGTACTGGTAGATGCTGCTTGAGGAAAGACAAAAGTTCTGTAAAAAGATGGGAATGCTGGATATTTTGCTATCTCCAAAGTACTGGGGTTAGCTATGAAATTTAGTGTGTGTTACACAGCATTTGAGATCACTGATATTAAGAAGCCAGTAATGCCTTATGTCCTTTGACCCTTCTTTTGGAGACATGGATGACTTTGAGTACTTCACCCAATTTTCATGGCACCAAGACAAAGAAATCCAACGTCAAGCACAAGATATCAGTACGTTAGCTTGATGTCTATGCTAAAATAGTCATTTATGAAACCACAGTCCTCCAATCCCCTAATTTGCTGTAGTCTCTAGCAATAGGACTAAGGGGAATGGCCTCAAGTTATAGCACGGGAGGTTGGGTGTTAAGATAAATTGCTTCTCTGAAAGAGTGGGCAAATGCTGGAACGAGCTGCCCAGGAAGGTGTTGGAATCACCATCCCTAAAGGTGTTCAAGAAATGTTTAGATGTGGTACTAAGGGAAAACAGTGCAGGAATATTGGTGGTGATTGGACTGGATAATGTTAGAGATCTTTTCCAATCCTAGTGTGCTTCACGATTATCTTAGAAGATTTTGTCCTTTCTGGAAGGAGGCAATAGTTTTAAATTAATCCACAATGTATAGAGTTGTAACAATTTAAATATCTAACAATAAAAATTTATATGGCCATGGAATTACTGGAAACATACTATACTACTTCTCTTAATGCAGAATTTATTTATTTTTTATTTCTAACAGCATTATTAGCTCCTCTCATCATATTGCTTGGTCAGAATATTCAGGACATCATTGCTGAAAAGAGCAATAGGTGGGGTTGATCATTCCAATTTAAGAAACAATTTATTGTATTGTCTTTCTCCAATAATTGCTAGGATTCGTTTACATTCAAAAATGTGTATATATATATATACATATATATATATATATATATTTTTTTTTTTTCTCAGTTTGTTTTGGCACTTCTGTATCTGAGTGTCAGCCAGCATCAGTCTCTGGCATGGTGCTCTTGAACCATTCTCCAAAATAAACACAGCAGATGTCAGTCAGGTGTTTTTCTACCCATGTCCAAACACTCGCCAAGAAATACATTTTTATTTTAGACCTATATCTTAATTATCTAAAGAATTTGTCATCTAAATTAGATATCCTATCTAAACGGAGGAATCGTGAAATATGCACCCCAGGCATACAGGGGTGGCCAGCAGGGAGCGCAGTGGCCCAGGACTGCAGTAAACAGGCCGGGCAAACATGGCCTGGCACCTCAGAACGTCACGGCACTGCACTTGGCACAGGAGTTTCCCACAGAGCAGGTGAGCACGGACGTGCTCTTCTCATCCAGGGCCACGAGGGAAAGAGATCGCCGTCAATAGCAAAATGGTGACCACCTGATGTGGCAGACCGACAGGTGGAAAAACAGATGACACCCACAACCTCTCTGGGCTGACACGCACATCTGGATGGCTCTCATGAAGAGTGAGAGAGATGCCCGGGCGTTTGGCTGCGGGGAGCTCCAGAACCTGGAAGTCCCTCTGTGGCCTGAGGGAGGAGCAGGAGCAGAGGGCTCTAAGAGGTGTTGATGTGTCCTGTTCAACAAACTTCTTGAGCAGATGGCCAGGCTGCAGGAAGAAATCATCAAGATGAGAGGCAACAGGGAATCAGAGAGGGAGGCAGATAAAAGTAGGTCTGAACTGACACATGCCAACCTGCAGTTCCCTCCTAAGTCCCTGAGTCCCTGCTTGGGGTAGAAGTTAACCAATTTCCCATCTGGAAGATAAAGGACATGATAACACGCAAAGTGAAGGGGGATGGATCCTCATCTGCTCAAGCAGAAGGAGGTATCTTCTGTCTAGCCCTGCAGCTCCCCAGGGCAACTGATACAAGGATGTAGGGTTGAAAACAGAAGAGGGACAGCATAGCAGACAGAGCCCAGGAAACAGCAAGCATACTTAGCAAGGCCATCCAAAGAATTGTATTAAAACTACCATAAACAAAAAAGGGTGAGGAGTCTTAGTAACTGGGGACTTCTTGCTGGGAGGCACTAAAGCCCTCATTTGCCACCCAGATAACCTCTCCTGAGAGGTTTGCTGTCTTTAGCGGCACATGTCAGAGGTGTTAAGAAGACTCTACCACATTTGACGAAAAGACTACTACCCACTCACTATCATTCAGATAGGGTCACAGGAGACTGCAACAAGGAAATTACATTAACAGGGACTTTGCATCCCTTGGAAGGACTCTGACGGGTTAAGGAGTGCAAGTAGTGTTCTCGTCTGTCCTTTCGACTGATGGCTGGGACCTGGAAAGAAGGAAGGAGAATGGGTCAGGTAAATTACTGACAGAGGGGATGGTGCCATGATCAAGGTTTTGCGTACTGTGATCTTGGGCAGGCCTTAGAGAGCCTGGGTATGCAGGTGTCAGATGGAATGCAACTGAGCAGGTGGGGCAAAAGTGTTCTGGAACAAGCCAGCTGGATTGATTATCCAGCTTTAAACTAGATTTGATGGGGGGAAGGAGATGAAATTCTTCATGACAGAGAAAAGCCAGGGAATGCTGTCATTTTAGGAAGAACCTCTCTATTGTCTCATAGGATCTTATGAGGACTCCTCAGAAAAGATAACATTGCCTGTAGCCCAACTGAAATCTTATTTCATTCCTCCAAGGATACCTGCACCCTCTGTACCCTACCTGTACACTATTGCACACAGCATGGGAAATAAACAGGAAGAACGAGAGACCTGTGTGCAATCACAGAGTCGTGAGCTCATTCTGATCATGGAAACATGATGGGGCAGCTCACATGACAGCAATGCTGTCATGGATAGCCATGTCCTCTTCAGGAAAGACAGGCCTGCAAGGTGAGGTGATGGAATTGCTCTCTACATAAGAGAGAAACTGGAATGTTGTATCAAGCTCCAGCTGGGAGTGAAAGATGAACAAGTGGAGAGCATGTGGGTAAGAATTAAGGGGTGAGCTAACATAGGTGACACTGTTGTGGATGTATATAAGCCACCTGATCAGGATGAGGAAGTTGAAGAGGCCAACCAGCTGGAAGTAGCCCTGCAATTTCAGGTACTGGTTCTTACAGGGGACTTTAATCATTCTGAAATTTGTGTGATAACAATATAGGCAGGCATACATTACTGTCCAGGAGGTTTCTGCAGCGTGTTAAAAATGACTTTCTGGTGCAGGTGGTGGTGGAGCTGACAAGGATGGGTGTGCTACTTAACACTATTCTTACTAACAAGGGAAAGCTGGTTGGGAATGTGAAGGTTTAGGGCAGTTTGTGATGCAGTGATCATGAGATGACAGAATTTAGAATATTGTGTAAAAGAAGCTAAGCAATAAGCAGAATTTCTATCCTGGACTTCAGGAGAGCCTACTTTGCCCCCTTCAAAGACCTACTTGGAGGTATCCCATGGGCTAGACTGTTAGAAGGTAATGAGTCCCATTATAGCTGTTTTTTTTAATGTATGTCAACAGTAAAAGAAAAACTATGGAAAATGTGGGTCTCCTATTAAATGACACAGGTGCCCTGGTTACAGCAGATGCTGAGAAAGCAGAGATTCTGAATACCTTGTTTGCTTCAGTCTTTACTACAAAGTCTGCCCCTCAAGAATCCTAAACCCTGGAGGTAATAAAGTCTGAGGAATGGAAGGCTTCCCTAGGGTTGAGAAGGGGATGGTCAGCGTCCAGCCAAAATCAACACATACAAATCCATAAGCCCTGATGGGATGCACTCATTTGTGTTGAGGGAACTGCCAGAGATGATTGCTGAACCACTCTGTATCATCTTTGAAAGGTCTTGGTAAATGGGAGAGGTGCCTGAAGACTGGAGGATAGCCAATGTCACTCCAGTCTTCAAAAAGGGCAAGAAGGAGGATCTGGGAAGCTACAGGCCAGTCAGCCTCACCTCCATCCCTGGAAAGATGATGGAATAACTTGTTCTGGATGCCATTGCCAAGCAATTGGAAGACAAGAAGGAGTAGTCAACATGTGTTCAGCAAGGAGAAATCATGCTCAACCAACATAGTAGCCTTCTATGATGTCATTGCCGGCTGGATAGATGGAGGGGAGAACTGAATGTTGTGCACCTTGACTTCAGCAAGGCATCTGAGACCATCTCCCACAGCATCCTTCTTATGAAACTTAGATAAAGTAGGATAGATGGCGAGATGAACTAAGAACTGGCTGAATGGCAAAGCTCAGAGGGTTGTCTTCAGTTGGACAGAGTATGGTTGGAGGCCAGTAACTTGCATTGCTCCCCAGGGGTCAGTGCTGGGTGTGGTCTTCGTCAGTGATGTGGATGAAGAGATAAGAGTTCTCCCTCAGCAAGTTTGCTGTTGATTGAAAGCTGACCTGTCTGGACACCTATCTGTGCAACTTATTACAGGGAGCCTACTTTGGCAGAGGGGTTGGACTTAATGATCTCTTGAGGCCTCTTCCAACCCCTGCAATTCTGTGATTCTGTAACATCTAATTTGGGAAATTTGACTCTGTATCCAAGCTACCTGCATTCAAGACAATCCTACCCAGTCCTTACTTTTTCATGGTGAAGTGCTAAGCTTTCTAACTGCCATGGTTATGTTCCAGCATCTGTCTTAGCAGGCATTATCTCAAAAAACACTTACAGATCCCCCTGCATGGCAGTGCTGGCCTTATCTTTGCAGAGTTCAGAAGGATCTGAAGCAGAGCATCCTTCTGAGTTACACTGAAGGTGAGAAGAGTACTCTCTCACAAAGGTCTCTTCGGCTACTATTCAAAACAGCATGTTAATCTGCCCATGTTGCTGCTCACTTGCATTGATCTTAAGGTTATTTTATCTAAGTATAGACACTAGAGAAGAAAATAAGAGATCTTAGTGAATTATAAATGAATTATAGTCCTTTGTGGTTCATATATTCACAAAACAATATTCTTGCTTGCTAATGCTGAGCTATTGTGTATGCAATTGTACACAGCAATTAGGTTTGATCACCACAAGTTTGGCTTGTTGCTGTCACAAGTTTCTCACTGTGCAAATGTAGCTGATTCAGCAGTATACAGGAAGACTTACCCCCTTGATTTTTTAACAGATATACGATAATCAGGTTTTCCCAGACACTGTGTGCTTTGCATAGTTGCTTATCTTTATGAACTGCATTGTGTACCAACAAACTATTATATGCTAATTTTCCATATTCTTCATTTAGAAATATACAACAGCCCTTCTTATTCATGGTGGTTACACAATATTGCAGCATTATGTTCTGCAATTTCTTAATATGCTTTTTGATGCATTTCTTGCACCAAGGGCAACAGCAGTTCACAGCAATTTTTACTTTATTTATTTAGTCAGGATTGCTGAGAAATTAGTCCTTAGGCCCCAGACATATAGTTCTCAGCAAGATTTGGGCCAGGTTATCACTACTGTAGCCTTAGCAAAAGTAACTACTGGACCTATCTATGCTCATGCCTGAGAACCTTCCAGCCACTAAAGCCACCTGGGATCAAATGACTTGAGTCTATGACAGTAATATGCCTTTTCTTTGAAAACACATTGGCTGCATGCAAACTGCCTATTGGAATCTGTCCCTGGATCATCCAACTCATGAAAAGTACCTAGGGATAGCTGGAAGGAGCATGAGGCGCATGGGCCAGGTCCGTGGCTGTGACTGCTGCAGGAGTTTGCTGCCATAATTGACTCTACTGGTGTCTGAGTATGTTTTGCATGTGCCACAGATGTGCCAGCCTATACACAGCCACCACGCATGTCTACAACAGAAGAAGACAAGTCTCTCCTGTAGTGACTTGCTCTTGCCATCTAGGTCACCTCTGGTCTGATCCGATGGCTGTAAAAGTCACTGACTAAAAGGTCACTGACTCCAATGGACTTTAACTCCAGCGCAGGGTTCTCTGGGATTTCAGATGTGTCTGATCTGCATGCAAACGTGGACAGATAAATGTCAAAAAGTGAAATTTCCTACTGACAGAAATCATTAAAAGACAAAGCCCCTGAATATATGTTATTTACACATATAACTATTTCATATGTCAGCACTGCACAGTAGTTAAACATTCAGATGAAACGAATTTGTGACAGAACTTATTTTAGTACAGTCTTTTTTCACCACAGTGACTTTGTTCTTTAATTTACAGGTATGAGTCTACAGGATGATTTTCAAATGTGATCCTGGAGTTTTATATTTGATTTTTAGTGCAGTTTAAGTGCCAAATCAAAATTATCATGTTTAATTTACTTTATTCTCAGTGGTTTTGCTTAGATTTATGAATTACCTTGGATTAATTACTATATAGCATTCTGTTTTTATAGTGTAATTGGGTGTGTCTAAGTGCATTCCATTTTATGACTTGCTTTAGGGTATATTTTGGATGAACTATATAATATAAAATACATTTGGTGTTATGTTTTATATAATGCCAGAGAAAGCACAGAAAGTGCATTTAAGTTTCTAGGTTTATTGGTTCCTTGTCTGCAAAACTTTGGAGGACAAACCTTATTTTCAGTTTTTCTCAAATTATTCTGAGTCTTTTCCATTTCCAATTTTTACAGTAACTGTTGAATTATTGAATCTTTTTGTCAATAATTATTTTCAGTCAGAACAAAATTAATAGCCTACAGGGAATGATAGTATGAAATCTGTAAATATAGCTGTCACACCTTCTAACACTATTCATTGAAAAATTCTAAAAAAAAAAAAAAAAAAAAAAAAAAAAAATGTCCCCTGTCCTTGTATATGATCCACAAGTAACTTAAATCTTGTCTTAGATTTTTTTCCTTTCTTCGGAGGCATTTGAGTGAAAATCGAGAATTAGCTGGTGCACTGCAATCGTTAATATCTAACTTCTAATTAATGAAGTCCAAATGATAAGGCAGAGAATTCTGTATGATTTGCCATAAAATATTATTGAGTATGCTTGGTATTTTTTATAAACTTACTACAAAACTGTAACTCCTTTTCAGCATTTCCAAGTACTTCATAATTTTTGGAGACTTTTAAGTTCATGAGATACCTCGTGTCTTTCACTGAGTTTGCACTTATGTGTTTCTCCCTCCCTTTATGCTTCAGAGACAGAGGAGCATCCATGTGCTGTCAGAATGAAGAATACTAAAGCAAACAGACTTGTGAAGGTTAGGAACTTTCATCTTTATGATTGCCTGGCTTGCCTTTACTGTTATTAGAGCACATATGTTTCAATATATTTATGATCCTGTAGTCAAAATGCTACCTAAATTAAGCTCTTCACAAGCATCTACATAGAAAGCTTCTGCCTGAGAGCTGCTGACTCTCTGATCTACCCCAATTTCAAACAGGTTGGTAAATGGGGAGTTTCTCTCCAAGGTAATGTTGGATACCCATGTTGGAATCTACAACCACTGTCTGTGAGAACAGAAACCAAATTACTAAGTTAGAATACCATTTACAGATCCCTCATGAACAGGCTTGAAACTGAAAAGGCACATGAGTCACTAATTCTGTGTTAAATTAAAACTAGAGTGTACTGACCTATCTGAGCTACTGTAACAACAAAGAAGTTTTCCATACAAATGTCACGAGATTGGCTTCAGCATCAGAAGTCTGACTAATGAATCACTAATGTGACGTAACAAGCGTTGATACCTTGTCTCATAACAAAGTACTACAGAAGTATTCATTTCTCAGAGCTGATTCAAAGTATAAAGAATGAATCATTCTAATAACCAGAGAATCATTCTAACAAAATTTTATTCATTAAAGAACATGTGAAACAACTCAAATTATATTTTGTAGGCCAAAGGTGAAGCTAGCTAATGAGTTTCCTCTGGAAATTGGAATAATTTTCCAATTATTCCAGTTTCCATTGGAATTATTAAAATATCATTTTATAATTTGATATTGATATTGTAGACTCCTAATAATGCACTTCATATTATCAAGAATCTATGCTTAGTGTTGAATAAATAGAGTAATTACACTATGTGATTTTTCTTTCTGCTTTCCCATCTTTCTTTTTAGGCACCTACGAAAAAGTTTTACTGTCAAAAACAAACTGAATCTCTCAATGCATGTAAGTATATGATGAAGCTGGCTCTGTTGCAAATTTCTCTGTATGCTGGCTAATCGTGGTGTATTCAAGCGATTGGCAAACACTGAAAAATGTATGTGTGTCCTAGTGAATATCAGCATCTAGAAGGGGAAACACTGTTAGAGTTTTGAAAATATCCTTAGATATAGTTTTGCAATGTAAGTAATTAAAAACTTTCGAAAATGCCATTTCAAGCATTTTCTCTATACAAATCAGAATATAGAAGAATATGAAACAGCAGAAGCAGCATCTTGAAGGGCATGTAGAGACTTGTAAATTCAACAAGTCAATTTGAAAAGAAAGAACAAAAATACTCAAAACAGTAACATTATTAAAAATAAAGTGTTTCTGAGTTTCCAAAATACTGGAATAGAGAAAGCAAAAACATCTGTCAACTTTATATTTCCAGACATCTTTGCAAGTCTGAGACCCTTCAATTCTCTGTTTCTAACGTGTCAGTTGTTTTCAAAATATAATTATTACCCTGCAATCTTTACATAGACATTTGGTTTTAAATACTGCATGTACACTGATGATATACATACAATATGTAAGAATGAACATCTGTATAAAGGCTGTGAGGCAATGAAGATTAAATGCTAACTTTATCTGTGAGCTTTTCATAACTCCTACCAAATCAGTTGCCCACAAACCACGGGAGTTTACCACAAGCAAATAGAAATGGTGTTTGGAAAAGACAGGATGATGATTTCCAGTTCATAAGATTTTTATCCAAAGACACATTCATTCATCTGTTGCATATTTAACTGTCTGCTTTCAGAAACTTGCTAGAGTAATACTGAATTGAAAGAGCATTTTTTTCTAATAACAGCTTCATTTTGCACTGACTTACAAGCAGTCACATTGTAATCTAAAGCAGTAGAAACCAAGTGTGAGTTCAGGAAGTCCAAGCTAGAAGGATGGAGGTTCTGCAGCAAAGATGAAGCTACCTGGGAGTGATTAATGGGAGTGCAGAGTCCAAATCCTATGGGGGAAAAGGAGAAGAGAAAGACAAGAAAGATACTCCTCTTGGCAAGGAGTGTCTGTCTGCAAACCTGTCTGGTGGTTATGGAGAGCTTAGTTTCATATGTTTCTTTATCACATCACCAGATAGCTTTCACTCAAGATTTAGTGTGCAGTCCTGGGCTGGCCCAAAAATAAATGAGTTCTGGTCATATTTAAGAAGTAAACTAATGAGAAGGATATGAATTATGTCTTAAGTCCTGTGGACAAATTCAGATAATCCAGTGTAAAAAATCTTTAATAATAGCAATTAGTAGACAAATCTAATTACAATTAAAAAACAACAACAAAAAAAAAAAAACAGGACAAACCAAAAAAATTTTGTGAATATTTAAATCAAAGGATGCTTGAAAGCAATCTATCCTAGTTTGAATACTTTGAAAATGTTTTCAGACATTTAATATGTACCTGTAACCTTTGTTTTTGTCAATACACACAGATGCGTGAACAATTATATGCTGTAGTAATTATTTTGACAGAATTTATTCTTGACAGAATTTATTCACAGACATCCTTCCTAGGATAAAACATTCAGAGGGCTGGATTCTCCCCTATGAGAACAGGCTGAGATATCTGGGCTCTTCAACCTGGAGTAGAGAAGGCTTTGAGAAGACTTTACAGCAGCCTTCCAGTACCAGAAGGGAGGCCTACAGGAAAGCTGGGGTGGGACTTTTTAAATGGGCACGTAGCAACAGGATGAGGACAAATGGCTCTAAATTGGGAAAGAGTAGATTTAAACTAGATATCAGGAAAAAGTTCTTTACTGTGAGGGTGGTGAGACACAGGAATAGGCTGCCCAGTGAGACTGAGAATGCCCCTTCCTTAGAAGCATTCAGAGCCAGGCTGGATGGGAATTTGAGCAACTTGCTGTAGTGGAAGGTGTCCCTGCCTATAACAGGGAGATTGGAAGTAGGTGCTCTTAAAGGTCTCTTCCAACCCAAACCATTCTGATTCTATAATCCTATGTTTAGTTCAGAGTGGATTTAGACTGATCACTTTCAATATGGAGTTCCATAACAAGTTACTGAAATGAGAATTATTCACTCTCAGAGTCCATGATTTCAAGCTTTGTGCTACAGCACCCAGGAAGGGTGTGACAGCTTGATTGGATTGTGATGGGTGCTGAAGGACCTGAGACTGCAAAAATGTTGTTTGGAGCTTTACAGACTAGTCCATAGCTGTTTGTTTTGATCTGAATATTCATATATTTCTTAAACAATCGTTATCTTCACTTTAACACTGTTTTCCGGGTAATGCACTTGATGTCAGTATTTTTGTTCAGCAGCCCTCTTACGTCTTAAATTGGACCATAAGTTAGCTCTGTCTGAGATATGGATAAGAGAGTCTTTACCTAGTAATACCAGGTCATAATGTATTAACACTTGACTTATCCCCGAGAAATTTATTTTTTTACTTTCTTAGACTGTGAGATTTTTGTTTTGCTTTTGTTTGGATTTTGGTTGTTTGACTGTATCATTTTTTTTTTAGATTCATCTTGCCCTACCACCTAAAACTGTCATTTAAAAATTACTCTGACAATGTTTTTTGTTTAATGAGCTGTTGTACCGGCCTTCAAACCAGAGAATTTGTGTAGTATGTTAAGAGTTTTAACCATATTTCTGTGTTTATAGCTTTATGTGTGTTTTGCTGATGTGTAGTGCATAGTGGTAAATTTTAGGGAAAATCTAATATTCCTCAGGGAGAAAAAAAAAAAAAAACAACACAAATCATAATCCCAGTTGATATCACTATGCAAAATTATATATGACATGTATGCTTTCTACTGTCCTAACTGCCAAAACCATTGTCATACAACTTTGGCTGTCTGGAATAAACATTAACTGCAGCTAGGCATACTCAGTAATTCCCCCCTGCAAAATCAATATAAGATCTTTGCCAAGACATAGTATCCCACAGAGTTGGTTTTGACATATTTTCACCATTACTATGAAGTTCTGATTGCTTTGTTAGAAAATGATGGCCACCCAAAAAGTACTTTGCCAACTGTCTTTATCCCACTTTTCCTGCATGTGTAGGTAGGTTGGTATGTCATCTAACCTTATGTCACAACCTGCATGCTGTTGATACAAAGCCTACAAGCAATGGGAACATTGCTTGCCCTAATCCTGTGGTGTGGTGAGAGTGCTGTCATCTTCTGTTTTCCTACATCACTTCTAGTTGCTTTAGAAAAGTGGCCAGGGCTCCCATTATTGATCAAGGCCCATTAGGTTAGGAATTTCTTGAAATCTAATTTCACTCAGTGTACAAAATTCAGTATTATTCTTCTTTCTTTTCTGTAGTCTGGGCTTCTTTCCTCCACCTGGCATGTGTACTGAGATACTCTACTTGCCAGGCATTTCTTATACAAATAGCTAAATCCACTAGTCTTTCAGGAATTTAAAATGAAACATATATTTTTGCATGAGGAAGTTTGGCTAAAAGGCTTTAAACCTTGTCACTCTGGTTTTCTTATTTTCTACCAGCTTGTTCTGGAAAGAAAAGCACTAGCTCTGCAAATAAACTGTTTTCAGAGTGAGGGATATGGGTTTAATTCTTTCTTTTTTTACACCACTGTCATAAAAATATTAGTGAGAATACATCATAAAAGCTTACCCATGTGAGTTTTGGAAACTTTTTTTTTTCCAAATCAATCTATTTTCTATTTTGATTATCTTTAAAGATATATAAATGAATAGAATAAACACTGTTTTTCGGTGTCTCTTTGCTTACCTGCTGTCTCTCAGCTACATTTTTTGCTGCCAAAGAACCTGGATAAAATAATAAAATAAAAAAAACAGAGGTTTTCTTATTATGTCTCCAAAGATCTTCATCAGGCATTTGTTGTTTAAACTGGCTGAGGCCAAATCTGCAAAGAAGCAATGTGTTAAATGATTCTCAACAAAGATTTATCATTCAATACTAACCCTATTGCTCTGTGAATCTTTATTATGTTTGGCAAAGAAACTGTAATGAAGATCAGAATGATTGATAAATACAGAAGGTTATTACAAATTTCTTAGATTTCCAAAGAAACAGAACTGGGCTTAACATCTTAGGAAGCACAGATTGGTTCTGGCAAGAACTGTAGGTTGTACGCTAGGTACTCTCACTGATAGTCCAGAAGAGATTTCATCTTCAGGCAGGACTCCAGAAACAGATATGCCACAAAAGAGTAGGAACACTTCTGCCTTCAAAGCATACATTGGTACAGCTCTAGCTCTAATCTGTACTTTTCTTCCAAGAAAAGGTTAAAACTTATCCCACAATTGGTTCTTGTTGCCAAGACACTTTCAACACAATGGACTCAAAAGCTGCACAATGTACAATGTTGGAAATCCTTGTTTACCTTCATTAAGTGTACCCCCAGGAGCACATTGGCAACGAGGCAATAGAAGTATTTTTCTTTCCTTTCTCTTTTCCAAGTTTTTTCACTTCTCAAATCTAAGACCCAATCTGCTTTCATTGTGAAGTTAGTCACATCGGCTTTGATGTAGATTATTTTTGAAAAGCTCATGAACTGCCAAAATAGGAACAGTCTACCTTCTTTCTGACAAAAGAAGCTGAAACTAAGACATCACTTCTTTCTACCAGGCTAAGCTTTATTAAGCAAGGAGGAAAATAAGTCTGCAAAGCTATCACCTTCTCTGTCCTTCTGATCCCTTCCTTACTTCATGTGTTCCCATGTTCACCTGAGAGATCACCAGATTACTAGTAATTAATGGCAGGTTCCTTAACGATGCTTAATTTTCCTTTCCTTGTCTTAATTACAAGTGCCTCAGGGTCAAGCTGTGTGCAGTTTTGTGCTTACAAAGGTTCCAGTACCAAGTGCTACCACAATCCAAATGTTACAGTCGTTATTGGTCTCGAGCAGCTCTGCAGTCCAGAAGGGATCAGAGGTTCTGTATTTACCTGGAAGTTCAGGCTGGGAAACTCCACAGGCGGTCCACCAGTCTGACCTTCTTCTGTGAGTCAGGCACGTGCAACCTGCAGTGCAGCCCAGCTGGCACTGTGGCCTGGCTCCCGCCCCACACCACCTTCCCCGCTGCCACCGCAGCTCTGCTCACCAAGCAGCCAGCCTGGTTCTGGGTGCGCACCCACTGCTCCGCCCCTGCCAAACATCAGTGAGCGGAGAGCCCTGCATGAACTGCAGCGGGGGCGCAGGGAGGGCGCAGTGCACTCCTGCTTGTGGTGTAGCAAATAACTGTGTGTCTTTTGATATGTTGGCTGAACACAGTCCTGTGGACAGTACCAATTATGAAGCCGTGCTTTCCGTTTTGATAAAGGAATTTGAGAACAGTTTCAAGATTAAAAAAAAAAAAAAAAAAAAACTTTTTTTTTCATTTTCAGTTGGCATGAATACATTACCTGGAAATTTTCAAATGGAGTGTACGGAGTTGCAATCAGGCATTCAACTCAAAAATCCGACCATGTCTCTTTACTTTTACAAGCACTGTCTTACCAGAGAAAAACACTCCTCCCTTCACAATCACACCTTACTCATGTCACCACTTTTTGGCAGTATGCACATTTGTGAACAACTGTTTTCAAGGATGAAGGAGAGGAAGAGTAAAATTTCATTTCTGACAAACATCTTGAACGAAACAGCCTGGTGTGTTGGTTTCACATAGGCAGGGTCAAATATCCCACTAGCTCTGTGCTTTTTTGGCTCTTTTTTAAATAAAAAATATTCAAGACTAAAATAAGTATTATTGCCTATATACATGAACTGTAGTATGTATTTTATGAGGGCTACTGCAAAACAGTGCCTCCTACTTTAGTATATTGGCCCAAGGTGTCAGAGGCAGATGGTGGTGGTACAGCAGTAGAGGTTGAACTGTACCACCAACATCCCGTTATGTGTTGTTGCCCTTTGACAAATGGCAGCAGATGGGTACTGGCAAAATGGTGTCTTACTTGGAAGTGTGGCCCAGGTAAACCAAATGGTTGAACACCTTTGCTCTGAGCCTTCGTCCTCAACCTGGCGCCTGTAGAATCTGAATGGGTTGGCTTTGACTACACTGCTGTGTTAAAGATACATAGAAAGATTCTGCTCTGAGACAAGGTAGAGTTGGAGGATTTTCAAAAAATATCGTATTTCACCTTGAAATAATACATTTGAACCATTTTATAGTACTGTCTTGAGCACTGTCACCAGTATTCTGTCAGTTTAGCCACAACTCATAAAATCATAGAATCATAGAGTAGTTTGTGTTAGAAGGGACCTCAAAGATCATCTAGTTTCAACCCCCTTGCCCTGGGCAGAGTTGCCAGCCAGTACACCAGGCTGCCCAAGAATCCATCCAACCTGGCCTTGAATGCCTCCAGGGATGAAGCATCCACAACTTCTCTGTTCAACCTGTGCTAGTGACTCAGCACTCTCTGAGTGAAGAATTTCTTCCTAACTTCTAATCTAAACCTCCCCTCTTTCAGTTTAAATCCATTCTGCCTTGTTCTATCACTGTCTGCCTGTGAAAGCAGACAATCCCCCTCCTGCTAGTAAGCTTCTTTCAAGTACTGGAAGATGACAATGAAGTTTCCCCAGAGCCTTCTCTTCCCTAAGCTAAACAAGCCCAACTACTTCAACCTTCCATCATCAGAGAGGTGCTCCAGCCTTCTGATCATCTTTGTGGCCCTACTCTAGACCCATCCTAACATCTCCACATTGTTCTTGGACTGGAGACCCCAGACTTGGATGCAGTACTGCAGTGTGGCCTGACAAAGGCAGAGCAGAAGGGGATAATCACCTCCCTCTCCCTGCTGGCCTTCTCTCTCTCTCTTGATACAGCCAAGGATGCTATAGGACTTCAGGCTGCAAGAGCACACTGCTGGCTCATGTTCAACCTCTCGTCCACCAGGACCCCCCAGTCCTTCTAGACAGGGTCCTTCTGCAAAGCCTGACAGCTTATATCCTGACAGCAGAGAATTCCCAGAAATTTTGCCTGGTTATGCGTTGTTTTGTTTTCTCTGATGTTTTAAACAATTGGGTACTGTATTACTGCTGTACTCTTGCATAATTACTACAGCCTTCCAGTCAATAAGTAAGGCCTGGTCAGCAATTTGGAAAAGGGTAGTCAGGAACTAAACTCCAGTAAACCATGCTCTCACTCCTCCTCCTCAAACAGGAAAAAAATAAATAATCACAGAATCGCAGAATGGCCAGGGTTGAAAGGGACCTCAAGGATCATGAATCTCCAACCCCCCTGCCTCATGCAGGGCCACCAACCTCCCCATTTAATACCAGACCAGGCTGCTCAGTGCCCCATCCAATCTGGCCTTGAACACCTCCAGGGACAGGGCATCTACAACCTCTCTGGGCAGCCTGTTCCAGCACCTCACCACTCTCTGTAAAGAACTTGCCCCTGACATCCAACCTAAATCTTCCCTCCCTCAACTTAAAACCATTTCCCCTTATCCTACACATATCAACCCTTTCAAAGAGTTGATTCCCCTCCTGTTTGTAGGCTCCCTTTAGCAACAGAATGGTTGCAATGAGGTCACCCTGCAGCCTTCTTTTCTCCAGGCTGAACAAGCCCAGCTCCCTCAGCCTGTCTTCATAGAGGAGGTGCTCCAGTCCCCTGATCATCTTCGTGGCTCTCCTCTGGAACCTCTCCAACAGCTCCCTGTCTTTCTTGTACTCCGGGCTCCAGACCTGGACGCAGTACTGCAGATGGGGCCCCACAAGAGCAGAGTAGAGGAGGACAATCACCTCCTTGTCCCTGCTGGCCACCCCTCTTTTGATGGAGCCCAGGATACCATTTGCCTTCTGAGCTGCAGAGCACACTGCTGGCTCATGTTAAGTTTTTCATCTATCAAGACCCCCAGGTCCTCCTCCACAGGGCTGCTCTCAAGGACTGCTCCTTCCAGTCTGTATGGATGCCTGGGATTCCTTTGGCCCAAGTGCAAAACTCTGCACTTCGCCATGCTGAACCTCATCAGGTTCACCCGGGACCACCTCTCCAGCCTGTTGAGGTCCCTCTGAATGGCATCCTTTCCTTCCACTGTGTCAACCGCACCACTCAGCTTGGTGTTGTCAGCAAACTTGCTGAGGCTGCACTCAATTCCATCATCGATGTCACTGATAAAGATGTTAAAGGGCATGAATAAAAGGAAATTAATTCAAGGAAAAAGAGAAAAAAAGAAAAGAAAAGAAAGAAAGAAAAAAAAAAAAAGCAAAGAGAGAAAACATAAGTATTCTTCCCAAGACCGCCCTTGTCCTTCTCTTTTCCCGGCCTTTATTGCTCAGCGTGGCACTGCATAGTGTGGGATATCCCTCTGGGGAGGAGCTGCCCTGTCTGTATTCCTTACCCAACTCCTGCCCACCCCCAGCCTCTGGTTTTGGGGCTAGAGAGAGCCTTGGTGCTGTGCTTGCACTGTTCAACTGCAGCCAAACATCAGTGTGACATCAGCACTGGTACAGCAACAAGTGCAGAGCTCAGTGCTGTGTGGGGAAAAGTGGATGCCACACTTCAGCCAGACCCAGTGCACATGTAACTTGTAAACAATTATTAAAGCTTCATGACATACAACGTGATAGTAATAAATATGTGCCATTGCACTGCAAGAAGAACATAAAACATCTGAGGGCTTTTCTCAGATATAGGTATTTATGTCCTTTGCTCAGCCTGTCTGCTTCTTGGTGGAAAAATGCTGAAACAAAGACAACAGACAAAGGAGAAGGGATGCATAGGCTTCCCCTGCAGTCCAGGAAACCTCCAGCTGCAGTAAAGCATGGTGCATCCAAGAGTCCGCCTTCTTCAGAAACTGTCTCCAAAATGGACTATGCTTTATATGAACTCATACATCATATTGAACCCATTTTGATTTATGTTCCCACATTTCTTATGCATTTAAACTGCTGATTTGAAAACTTAGCATTAGTTTGAGCACATTTTCTGGGACACTTAATTTTGTAAAGGAATACAAGTTTTCACTTTTCTGAAGAATATAACCACATAAATGTCCTGGAACATATTTCATTACCTTATAACTTTTTTTGCACACTGTACCATCACGCAACATTGTTTGCATGCTGGTACATCTCTAGAACTCCATACTTTAAAATACAGACCTCTTTTGCTAGCTCTGGTGAGACTATTGACTACATGGAACAACCTTTGCCTCATCCGTATTTATCATTTCCCACTATTAATGAAGCAAACATTTATCTATGAATATTTTTGCACCTTTTCCTGTTTAAAAAAAAAGGAAAAAAAAAAGTAGAAAGGAATTTTTTTTGTTAAGTATGAAAATTTATTTTAGGGTTTAATTTTAAGCAACATCTCTAGCCTTGAAAAGTGGCATTTTAATGTATTTTCTTCTGTAGAACAGAAAAAAAAGCAAAAAATCACACATAATGTGATGAAGATTACTTGTAACAAAAGTTTGCAAATACATGCTGCTCTCTATGCTCAAGTGAAAAAAAAAAAACTCTTGGCGCCTATGTGATACAGGACTCACACAGTTCAGTAACAAAACAAGGCCAGTGAGCACTAGCCTGTACTGAACTGCACACGCTGCTCAGCCCAGCTTTCCTTCCAACTTGAAAGTCTGCAGAGCTCAGAGGTTTCACAGTGGTTCAGTTTCATATTAGACAAATCCAGCAGGTTTTGGCTGGCATGACTTTGAGCAAACACAAAAACCAAAATGAAGCTCAGGAGACTAGAAAGGAAATGTTTATGTCAAGCCCCAGCAAACCAAAACACAGCAATCTTGAAAAACTGTCTCTGAAATCCTTGCTGAGAACACAACACCAGTTAAAAACATGATAAATCTTTTACAACCTGTTAATAAATGTATGATTCACAGTTGCCTTGTAGATGTGTGTGGATACCAAATTCCCTACAGAACAGTAATGTGCTGGCTATTGTACTTCTGGTTTCCCTCCTCTTACTCAACAGGATGGCTCCAGTCTCTTGCAAGAAGGACAATTTCCACTGAAAACAAAATGAAAAAACTTTCAGCATGACCTACATTTCTTCATCTATTTTTTTCCTACTCCACACAGTTTAGTTTAGTGAAACTGACTTTTCAGGAAATATC